TTCCTCATATTTGATGAAACCTAGTGAAGAGATTCTGCAGTGACATTATGTGCTCAGGTTGGTTTTGTGCACATCCTTCTTCAGAAACCCCCAGAGTTATAGATGTGGTTGCAATAGATTCAGGCATTGGAGGGCCACAAGCTTTGAGAAATAATGAAACCACTAAAGAACTTCCCCAACATCTACACTCTTGAATTTGCTGTATGTGCCATAGCCCCAGCATGCTGAAACCATCAGTCTTGTTTGTAAACGTTCAAAAGGGAAATGTAATTCATGATCAGTTTCTGGTTATGTTTAATGGTTTTTGTTTTACTGAAGAAAATGGGACCAATTATCCTCCATTGTGAGACAGCACCCCATACTCTGACTTTCTGAGTTTCATGGAAGATATGTGTGTTTTGACCACTCCATATTCTGCTGTTTTGACTATTAACATATCCACTTAGTTGAAACCATGCTTTATCATGAGAGAAAACATAATCTAAAATGTGTTTACGCCTAAATGTGTAAACCATCTGCAGTACTGAAGCCATTGTTCCTGATCTGGTTCCTTGACATATACATGATATGGATGAAGTTATAAAATGTATGTAGCCATATTACAGTTCTGTAGGACAATCTAATATGATGAGAAAGTTTTCTCAGTGACTTTCTTGCAGAATGTAACAAAGCTTGACAAATATCACTTAAATTATTGTCATTTAACATTCAATGTCAACCAGAACTGTTTCTGTCTTGCATGTTTTCTGTATTGTGGAAATGGTTTACCAGACAAGATATTGTTGACTTATTTGGCACAGGAGAATCATAAAATTTATCTGTCAACTCACTGTAGAAAGCTGAGTAAGAATGAGATACCAGGTAATATTCAACAGTGAAAATTCTCTGCATTTGTGAAAAACACAGCCTTGCACTTAGACTGTTTGAAGAAAATTGACAGTCAGGCACGAGCAGGTTACAACGTGATGTGACCTGCATGCGATTTTATGTAGTCATAGCAATGTTGTGTGCTTATTAATTGTATTGAATTGCAGACATCAATAAGTATTTTAATATGGGTTGTGTTACTTTTTGATCAGCCTCTCTTTTCACTCAGAAGGCCTTAACTGTGTAAGAAATGAGATGTGAAAGAGTAAGTGGTTGAATATTTTGGATATTGCCAGTTACAGTTAGAGTGCAGTATTACCTAAATTTATTAAAAGAGTGAAGGACTTAATTTTTATTTTTTTTACATATGCGAGGAGTGTTAATTACACATGGGGTCAAATGTGGTGGATTGTCCAATTTCATTAACAAATTTTACTTTTTTAAATGCTCGCTGAAGATCTCTTTTCACTAAAAATCCGTTCCTTGGCAGTGGTCCTTTTTCCCTTTTCCATGGTGTAAAATGTAGTTCCGCTTTGTGAGTATTCCATCATCAAGTCATGTTCCGTCCTATATTCCTGCCGCATTCAAACTATACTTCCCTACCTTCATAGGTAATGTATACCCCTGTTATATGTAGGCTCCTCACATTCAACGTTCCAATTCTAAAGTCCTTTAAATGCCACCTCAGTTGTATAAAGTGAAGCTTTCACAGCGACTGAAGTTGATGAAAGACTCTCGGGTTACGAACCTCGTCAGGTGGCTGAATGGTGAATAAACCATATCTTCTGCTAACGTTTCAAGAACAATCTCTGTTCTGAGGATGAGAGCAAAGATTGTTTTTGAAACGTTGGCAGAAGATGTGGTTTATTCACCATTCAGCCACCTGATGCAGCTCGTAACCTGAGAGTCTTTAGTTGCCTCTGTTTTTCCACACAAGCCATCCAATTCTGAGGCTTTGTTATTGTTTTAGTAACAAAAAATAAATTTTTATGAAGGGTTGTTAGTGCCATGCCCAGCCCCCAAGCCCCTTATCGACTGTTCGCGCCTGCATATTAAAAAAATTTACTGCTAATCTTCGTAACTGGAGTCTATTCTTCGTTCATAACCCAAAGACGTGCCATGCCGTGGTGACAGACCCACCTAACGTTGTCCGTGATAACTGACTCATTGGTAGCAGTACTCCAAAAAGTTGTTTCCGTTGGCAAACTGATGAGAGAGATCAGAACAGACAACAAACCACCAATAAATCTGGGCATCAGACAAAGTATGTGGCACCATCTTTGCTGAAAGTTTCCTCATTCCCAAATCTTCAGTAAAAATCTTCCACAGTTTCTCTGTCTAAAGTTAATTTCTCTTTCATTATATGTACACTTCATCTGTCAGAATGACAAAACATGTTGTTAATGCATTGCTTCAGCAACCTATCACTCATTTTTTACCGGGATGAAAACACTTACTTGTCTAACTCACTGCTACTACCTTATTTGCTTCACCAACACACAAGATGCAACTCCAGGCACGTCATACATAACATGTCACTTCTTAGTTATTGCTTGCTTGTTGCTTGATGCGGCATATGTGAGGATTATGGGAACTTGATTGTTACACCTTGTATTATTATTTATTATTAAGTGTTCTGTCTTACGAAAGGTCCATTGCTCTGCCCAAAAAGAGCTCTCCAGTTGTCCCTATTCTCGGCTTCTCGCTTTAATTCCTGGAACGTCATCTTCTTTCCTTGTTTAAGGTCGTCGGTTAGCTGTATCAATCTTCTTCCTAGTCCTCTCTTTCCTTCAACCTGGCCTTCGGTGATATCACTCATTAATCCATTCCTTCTCATAATATGTCCCAGCCAGTTAGCTTTCCTTCGTGTAATCGCCTGCAGAATGCTTCTTTGCTCGTTGACTCTCCTCAATACTTCTTCGTTGGTCACTCGATCCGTCCACCTGATCTTCTCTATTCTTCTCCAACACACACACCTTGTATACTGTAATATAATTTCTTTGAAGTTGTCTTTAACTTTCATTGTTCTTCAGTTCAGAAGAAGATCTAGGAATTCATGTAATTTAATTTTGTGATTGATTTATATTGATAATTTGATTTTTCTTGGCATTGCAGAAAAAGGAAAAGAAACTGGAAGTGAAAGATGCAGCATTATACACCATTCTAACAAGAGAAGGAGAAAAAAAGAATGTCACGTGTCCTATGCCTAATGCATATAGTCCTCAGTTTGTTGAGGCAGCATGGTACAGTTGGTGGGAGAAGCAGGGGTTCTTTAAACCTGAATATGTGGTGAGATTTGAATAAATTTGCCAAATATTGTCAGGTTCATTTGATTTTGATTTGCATTTGTCCAATATAACTACATACTATACTATACTACGGGCTTAAGTCCTATTTGCTTTGCTCACCAGCCCTGCTGAGGGGCTTTTAGTCCTTTTCTGTCTGTGCCTTGCCATCAGTCCCTCAGCTGAGGAGAAAATAGGCTAGGAGCGGCAGAAAGGCTCTGCTTCTGGAGTTATGAATGCAGAAAAGAACATGTTATTTGCATTTATCCCTTATCTTACCTTCCTTTTGTTCTAGTATTTTTTTAAAATGTCATGTAACTCTTTAAAACATTTGCAAGTATCAAGTTGGGACTTCAGTGGGATTATGCTTTGCAAAGAAGTTGTCTGCATCAAGATCATTGCAATGTAATCCTTTAATGAAAGTTTTCAGTGGATTGGTAAGTCATGCATAAGAATGAAAGACAGTGAGGATAAGTACCCTGCAGCAGAATTAAAAGAATTGGGGAAAGCTCTTAAAGTAACAATTCTTAACATTCCTGAAAAGGTAATTTCAAGTGCAGTTTCTTCATTGCCTGTTGCTGAGATTTTAAAATAGTTTAAGGAAAATTTTCAAGATTCAGTGACTTCTTAAAATTTGAAAGTGACAATTTTATTTATTCTCCCTAAGAATTTCAGTATTCTTGAAGTTCAAGAAGTTTTCAAAATGCTTTTGGCTAAATGATTAGGAGAGCAGAGCAACTTGTTATGGACCAAGGCATCATGTGATTACCTAATCCTAAACCAGGCAAAACTTTAAACAACGTTACTGTTGAAGTAAAAGTTTCTACAACTGTGATTAAGTGAGTATAGTAATAACTAGTAAAAAACAATACATGTCAAAGTCATTAATTATCAAAATACATGAACAGAAATGATTGTTATTGTGCAGTAAGAGTTATACTTACATTTTGAAAATTCACACCCGTGAGTAAAATTACAATTTTTGATGTTTGCATCGTTGCGCCCCAGAAACTGTATTATGGCGGATGCAACTGGTACACACAGTATGTATATTTAGAATTAAACAGAATGTGAAGTTAATGTTGGAAGATTGTTTGAAACATGATTTCATTTTGGTTCATACCTTTCATTGGCTTGTATTAATGTTTTTTGAAAACATATTTGAATTATGACAAAAAATATACGCACACAGTTAATTTGTGTTAACGTAAATTAATAAATGTAAAGAATTTGAAAGAAACATGTTGTTTTAAGTTGTCTCTTTAGTACAAGTGAAGTGATTCACAAAACCAAATCCCATTGCAGTCTGAACTTGGTGTTTGCATGTATTTTAAATAATAGTTACATGCACACCTTTTTTTTTTTTAAATTACAGTACCATATTTTTGGAAATACATGGGCAGAGGTCAGATTTGAAGAGCTTGAAACATAACTGTGCTGAATATATTGGTGTATTAGATAATTGGAAAGGGAATTTTATTGGCTTTGAAATGAGCATAGGATGAGCTCTGTATCTGAAGTAGGAAGAATTATGCCAATTTTTCTAGGTCAGCTTGTGCTCCAAAAGTGAATAGTTTTGACAAGTTTGGATGTCTGCTCTCAAAAATCAAGCAGTAAGGCAGTAAAAATTGCAGGAATACCTATTTCTAATGGGACTACAATTTCACAGAAAATCATTAATTTTTAAAGGGGTGTCAGATAAGTAAAGTAAAGTTTGTCCCACTATACGCCATGTAGGCGTTTGGGGTGAGTGGAGGTATAGCTCCTCTCTTCCTTGACCTCGGCACTAGATGGGGGTCAGTGGTCAGCATCACGCCCCGGCCGGCTTTACCCCCGGGAAAGGACCCCGGTACCCATTGGACAGGAGGCTGGGTGGGCCCCAGAGCCGGTCTGGACGCAGAGGCTAGAGGAAAAATCCTCTGTCCCCGTCGGGGATCGAACCCCGGTCGTCCAGCCCGTAGCTAGTCACTATACTGACTGAGCTATCCCGGCTCATAAAGGGGTGTCAGATTGGAAATGTATTTCTTCTGTGTTTTGATGTGGAATGGCCCATTAGTGATGTTTGCAGAGGTGGATCTGTTTTCTGTGGGAGTTGTTTAACTAGTGAACTAATAAGTAGATCACTGAGGTAACCTAATTTTGATGGTGATTGTTTGTTTTTCACTTACGTTTCATTTCTTTTCAAAGACAATCCAGAAGTTGTGTTTAAAACATACTGTAATTTTTGCTTGTGAATGTTGGTACATCGATTTTTATACCATATGTTTTTGTCTCATATGCTTATTTTCAGAGTAAGAGTGTGTTAGAACACAATCCCAAAGGGAAGTTTGTGATGGTGATTCCTCCGCCAAATGTGACTGGTTCATTACATCTTGGCCATGCCCTGACAAATGCAATTCAGGATGCTCTTACTAGATGGTAGTGACTTTTATTCTCTGATATGAATTCAAATTCATTTAATCTCTAATTTTCACCATGATTTATATAACCAGTGCTCTGTCCATTTTGTACTATACTACTGACACTTTAAGTGAATACATTACATTTAATCTATTTTTTGTTATTTTAATGTGAATATAGTATGTTCTTAAAGTTGTTAGGCAGTAACACTGCAAGTACTTTCTTATAGTACTGTAACTTATTTTAGTTGCCTAAAAGTAGTATTGCTGCCATCTTATACTGCATGAATGATACAGTGAATTTTGTATTAACAGGCATCGGATGAAAGGCCGTACAGTTCTCTGGAATCCAGGCTGTGATCATGCTGGTATTGCAACACAGGTTGTAGTTGAGAAGAGACTGTGGAGGGAAGAGAACAAAACCAGACATGACATTGGGCGAGAGAAATTCATTGAAAAAATTTGGGAGTGGCGTAGACAGTATGTATAATGACCTAAAAATATGTGTATTTTCAGCGCTTAACACTAATTTTTTTGAAGGTCAAGCCAATCTGAATAATAATCAAAATTTGGTCCTTACCACAAAGAAAACACATTGCATCGCCTTCATGAAGATTATGTGGTTAATGCTGTTTGGGGTACTCATTCCGAGAATCACATGAATCCCGTAACTGCATTGTTGGCAAAATTCAGTGTTGCTGATTATTAAAGCAGGTGGTGTGTGTAGCTACTATTTGTCTTTATAGCGTGAAACAAGAATATTTAAATTCCTTGCATTCTCTAGTTTCTAATATCTTGGTGGTTCATACTGTCATTTATTAGTGTTAGTGCCTCTTTCCAGTCGTACTTCTTTAGAATCTCATTGTGTGCACAGTTTACTCTTATCCATCCATGCTTTAATACCATATGTTTGTACTGGCATGAAATACACATTGTTCGAAACAAAATGTTATTCCTTTTGTGACATTTCCTCTTATCCGTAATATAATTTGTCTTTCTCAAGTTAATTAACTCAGTTGCCCAGCAAACTGTTACATTACACTATTTGTTTGTATGCTGTTCTTGTTAATATTATCAGTTATTGCAGTGTGTTTCATTCAGTATTTAGAATTTTGCTGTTGGTATAGAAAGTTTCCATAGTCTGTCTGCATTTATGATGCAGTATCTTCTTCTTCCGTTTCTTGACTGTTACTTCTTCTCTATTTTCCCATCCTTCCGGAGGTAGTTTCTACTCTATCATGATTCTAGTAATTCTGTCGTTCCATCCTGGTCTCGGTCTTCCTCTCTTCCATCTCTCTTTTGGTTGCCATTTCATAGTCTTTTTTGGTAACCTTTCCTCCTCTATCCTTCGCACGTGTCCGTACCAAATCAGTTGTCTTTTCTCTGTCTCCTCAATTATATCTCGATCCATCCTCATGATTTCTCTAATCCTTTCATTTCTCACTATCTCTCTTCTGGAAATTCCAGCCGCTCTTCTTAGGAAATCTGTTCCCATTATTCTCAACTTTTTTTTTTGTTCCGAGAGTTGCAAAGTTTCTGCTCCATAAAGAGCCACGCTTTGATGCAGTATGTAAAGGTTTATTCAGATACTGCATGCTTTTGTTGACTTAGTTATGTGGCTCTTATTTAGGAAATTACAGGAATGTCTCCACACATACACACACACACACATGCGCGTGTGCATACGTGCACGCAAAGGATACTGTAATTGTACCAAGAGCTGAAGTGTCATGACTTCAGAAGTGCTAATTAAAGAAGTGTATTGGTAAGAATAACACCTGTGACTGCTGTCCATACACTACGTTTACCTGGTTGTAATATACATTTGAGTTTGTTGTTCGTTTCAGGAAGGGTGACACAATCTATATGCAGTTGAGGAAACTGGGCTCCTCTTTTGATTGGTCAAGAGCCTGTTTTACTATGGATCCAAAGTTGTGTAGAGCTGTGACAGAAGCCTTTGTCCGGTTGCACGAGGAAGGGGTTATTTATCGCAGTAACAGACTTGTGAATTGGTCTTGCACATTGAAGTCTGCTATTTCTGATATTGAGGTTTGCTTATCAACTTAATTCTGGATTTCCGTTAGTCACCCAAGTTTTTTTAATGCTTAACGCTATTCTCTGTTTTGATTTGTTAAATTATGGCTAGTTGAAATTTTCACCACACTACTTCTGAGACTTTTTTATGTGGTGGGCCATAAACATATGCCTCTTTAGTCTACAGTAAGAATCTGCGAAATGTTTTAGCCATTAAGAGATGTTTATCATGTGACATTTCCTTTTGTGATGCAGAAACCTGTTTTCATTTTCTCCTGCCCAAATATACCATTTCCCTCAGATGATTTGCATGTTGCCAGTTTGTCGTACTGCTGTGGTCTGCATGGCAGGTAACCTGACAATAGAAAACTGTCACTGAATGTAGTTCAAGATTACAGTATTGTCATGTAATAGGGGGTTAAAAGTTGTTCAACACTAGATATTGCAACAAAATAGGAGTATTTACACTTGTTTGTGATGTAACATTGTATGGGTGTGAAACATGGTCTCTCACTTAGAGGAACACAGATTGCAGGTGTTTGAGAATAGGGTGTTGAGGATATTTGGGCCTAGGAGAGAAGACGATGGGGCATGGAGAAAACTGCATAATGATGAGCTTAAAAATCTGTACTCCTCCCCCAGTATTGTCAGGGTGATTAAGTCGAGAAGAATGAGATGGGTGGGGCATGTAGCGTGCATGGATGGGACAAGAGGTGTGCACCGGGTATTGGTTGGGAAGCCTGAGGGGAAGAGACCGCTGGGGAGACCTAGACGTAGATGGGAGGATAATCTCAGGCGGGATCTATGGGAGATAGGAGTTGACGGAGACTGGATTTTGTTGGCCCAGGACAGGGTCCGGTGGAGGGCTTTGGTTAATTCGGTGTTGAACCTTCGGGTTCGGTAAGCCATCTAGTTAGTTATGAGATGTAACATGTCTGTATGAAGTCAGTGACTCATCAAGGATCAAAATAAGAATATGGCATAGGTTGACTACTATTTTTCACTTTTTAAAAAAAGGTAGTGACAACTTATGATCATCTGTAGGTAATTTATTCCATTGGCAGTGTTTAGAACCAACCCATAACAGCTTATTTATATATGTTGGTTTAATTTAAGTTTTGTTTTGTGTCTTAAAGTTTTCATACAGGTTGACATATTTATTTTCAAAATTGTATGCACACACAGTAAACTATGAATTAATGTGGGTGGTGCTTGCAAGAGTGTAAATTGTGGTTTGTTGTTGGCATGTAAAGAATTTATGCTAATACATGGCTGGTAACAGGTTGAAGACATCATGTAAATATGAGAAAATGTTTAATTTCACAGTTGAGACAGTACTAAAGATGTTGAGTGTGTTGTAGTTTTTTTATTTCTGTATGTCCATGAAAACCACATCAATAAATATTAGGTATTTCCATACCTGAAAACAAGCTGTTTTCCAAATTTTATAAATTCTTGTTATATTGAGGTTGCACTTTATCATTTTTGGACATTTTGTAGACACAAATGGATAAATTTCACTGTCTGTCTTGGCATGTGTCTACATGAACAACTTGGTTGTAACTGGACAGATTTTGACTAAATGCAGTACATAGAAGTCTATATAAGGTGGAAACTTTTATTTTGAGCTACATTATTCCGTTAGTGTTCCCATCAGATGAAAAATGTTCTATGGCTTTGTTAAACTATTTATGTGATTCTGATATAATTTAGTATAATTAAACTACTCTAAAAGTTGTTGAGCAAATTACAGATTAGTGACACATTGGTGTATGTGTTGCCAACACTCAAAAGATGAAGAATGTACCCAAAATTTGCCTGTTTGAGCAAGCTGTCCCCTTTCTAATTTCAATGCACATTGGGCACCTAAAAGTACACTTTCGAGTTCAAGAATTTTTGTTCATAACAATTGCTCTATAGTAAAAATGTCTTCAGTTATTTGTTGCTACTCTCCAATTGCAGCCCAGCATCATTAATATTCCAAGTGGGTCTGTGTTGCGCATTTAACTTTTAATGTGTTTAAATCTGTCGCAGAAACTTATCTGCTGCTGGCAGCTGCTGTGTTTATCCTAAAACAGAAAATTTCGTGACCTGCCTAACTGTGAAAAACAATATTGTCTTACAGGTGGATAAAATAGAGTTGAGTGGACGTTCCTTACTCTCAATCCCAGGCTATGAAGAGAAGGTGGAGTTTGGTGTGTTGACATCCTTTGCGTATAAAGTAGATGGTAGTGAAGATGAGGTGGTCGTGGCTACCACACGTGTCGAGACTATGTTGGGAGACACGGCTGTTGCAGTGCATCCTGATGACCCGCGTTACAAGCACCTGCATGGAAAATTTGTTGTACATCCTTTCTGTGACAGGAAGTTGCCAATTGTGTGTGATGAGTATGTGGAGAGGGAATTTGGCACAGGTGAGAACTATTTTAGGCAGTGAAAAAACGAATTACACACCACATATTTGGTGAAGACATTAAGAATAACATCTTAAAGCTACCATCAATGTACACCTCACTTTTGATAAGGCTGTTGTCAAAATTTATGCAGTTGAGTGATTTGTGTGGAGGGTAGAGTGTTTGCGTACCACTTTTGCACTTTAAATAACACTGAAACATGTCACATGAAACTTGAAATTGGTTTAAATTTCTTTTTCAGGTGCTGTGAAAATAACTCCTGCACATGATGCTAATGATTATGATATTGGTAAACGTCATAATCTTCCTTTTATTACTATTTTTAGTGATGATGGAAATATCATCGGTGATTATGGATCATTTTCTGTAAGTAAACTCTTAAAACCCAAAATAACTATGAATTTAAATGAAAATTAAACTGAATAAATTGTCACCCTAATTTTTAGATTTTGAAATAAGGAATTGTCCGCAGTGGCCGCGTGGTTGCGGGGACTGTGGGTTCGAATCCCACTCAAGCCATGGATGTTTTTCTGTGTTGTGCTGTCCTGTGTACAGGTAGAGGCCTTGCGATCCCTCGTCCAAGGAGTCCTACCGTGTGTCCATAGATCAAGCCAACTAATAAAAAGTTGGGGACCCGTAAAGGGTACCAGAAAATGTAGAAACATTGTTAAACTGGAAAAAGAAGATGGAATTTTGTGCCTTCTAGAAGAGTGTTTACTCTGCATATAGATTGTATTTTATGTCTGGTAGTTTTTCTTTTTACCAACGTTTGCAGTAAATTACTTTACTTTTAAGGTTGCCTTCTGCATTTTACATTTTGAAGTAAAAAATTCCCATATTACGTTTTATCATTTTTCTTCGGAAATAACGTTTAGTGATATTGTGATACGTAAGGAGATCAGGAATACATTATGTCCAATTTGTTATAGGGTATGAAAAGGTTCCATGCACGTAAAGCCATAACTGATGCTTTGAAAGAAAGAGGATTATATCAGGACACTGTAAACAACCCAATGGTGGTTCCAATATGTAGCAGATCAAAAGATGTTGTTGAACCACTCATCAAACCACAGTGGTAATGATTTTATAGTATCCATATACTCCATTTTTGTCTTATTTTCACCCTAAACATTACATGAATACATAATTAAAATCATCTATCTATATTTATTCTCACAAAGCACTTGTCAGATTCAGATGAGGTTTAATTTGCGTAATCTACACCACAATTCTTGAGTTTTATGTTGATTCATTAGAACTACTGCTTTACATAAAAGTGTAAATGGGTATCATATTTTTATGAAGAGAATGAGAAGTCGGGAACTATTTTGAAGGGGATATTACAGAACTAAATAAAAAATAAGGCAATTCGTTGAATGCTTTAAAAGTCTGGTTTTTTAGAAGTTCCTTGGGTGGCGTAACTGATGTTCTGTCATGTTGCTGAATCAGTAAATGGATTTAAATGAGAATTTAATAACATTGCAAATTATGCATTCAGAATGTCTGTATACAGAGCCTACCTTTCTTGCAATTAAGCAGGTTCAATAGACTTGGTCCTTTTCTAGGTATGTGTGAGAACAGCAGGTTAATACTCTTTTTGACTGTAAGAGGAATTTAAAGATAATTATTTTTTTAGTATTATTTAGTGTTCTGTCTGACGACAGGTCCATATGAACAGGATCCTTCCATCCTTTTCTCGGACTGTGACCTGTTCATATACGTTCTTGGCAGATGATCCAGAAGTGGTTTGCCATTGCCTTCTTCTGTGTAATTGTTGGGATGCCACGGAGAAACCGGGGAAGCCCCCGGAGGAAAACTCCGTGTTGCCTAGACCACGGCCTTGCCCAACACAAGTTATAAATTCGGGCACCGCCGGGAATCGAACCCGAGACCCCAGGATTACAAGGCCAGCGTTCTAACCGCTAGACCACCTTGGCGGCTTTAAAGATAATACAGTAAATAAATAAAATAAACAGCAATTCATGGAATTCATTGAAGATTACCAACAAATGAATATTACAAAGTTAAAATTCACTGGGTAGCGTTTGTTTTACATGTAGTAATTAACAGATGTGCACTCCTTTGTGTTGGACATACAATTCACATTATCCAACTACTCTTACAATTTAAGCTGTAGAATATGAAAACATGGGCATAGTACGAGATAAACACAGCAACAACGGTGGAATATAATTATAAGTGACATCATTTGAAAATGTTTCAAAATTTAATTATCTGGAAACAACAATTAGAAATGAGGTCCATGATAAAATTAAGAGTAGAATACATCTGGGGAATGCTTGCTTTTATTCAATTCAAAAACTGTTATCATCTCGTTTACTATCAAAAACACTGAAGATCAGGACATATAAAACAATAATTTTGCCTGTTATCTTGTATGGTTGTGAAACATGGTCTCTTACCCTGAAGGAAGAACGTAAATTACAAGTGTTTGAACCTAGGAGGGATTAAATAAATGTGAAATTTAGAATATTGCAGAAAGAGGAATTGCATGAATTGAACAGGTCACCTAGCATAGTGACGATAGTGAAATCTAGGAGGCTTCATTGGGCTGGACATGTAGCACACATGGGGAGGCAGGGGATGAATACAGAATTTTGGTAGAGAATCCTGGAAAACGACCACTGGGCAGATCAAGAAGCAGATGGGAGGATAACATCAAGATGGATCTTAGGGAGGTGGGCTGTGAGGATGGAGTCCCCATCATCAGAACCCTGATGATGGGGACAGAGTTGGTTCCCGAAATGTCGGTTTACTACGGTAACGAGTTAACGCGACTGATTGCCCGAGAAGATTTTATTGATTGTACTCGCTGCGAAAGTCTCAAATCCTATATGACTGACATAGTTTACAACCTCTTGGAATACAGTTTGAGAGCTACACAATTGTGACAATGCTCTCTAAGTCTGTGAAGTCCAGAGTGTTAGACCAGCAGTTGACCAGGTCAGAAGAAGTTGCAGAGAATAAACCAATATTATGTGATGGACAGGAAGCAGCCAGAAAGTACATGAACAAGTTGATACCAAGGGCAGTGTTATTGTAATGTGCAGCGAAGTTGAAAGTGAATTATGTAGGCCGAGAGCTCAAATAAAGAGGAAACAATTTATGAACTATTTAAAGAAGTAACTAGGCATGTACTGTATTTGCATTTACATTGATAATGTGTTTAAATATGCATATTTTAAATGGTCTGCTAAGGTTTTTTGTTATATGGAAGTCAGTACATATTTTTCTTTAGGTTGCATAATTTTCATTTCCCTGATTTTACACTCTACTGTATTTTACGTTTCTTTTGAGGCATTCCCTTCAAAAGTGTAAAACAGAGGTTTCAGTGTATACTCTGTGACATGTATTGGTTTATTCCTGTTTCATCTGAAATGTAGATTTCATTAATTCATGTATCATATTCATTGTAACTTTAGTGATATATATTTTGTAATGTTCTGCTCAGAAATTCGGTGGTGACCTTACATCCAGCTTTGTGTTCACTAGGTATGTAAGATGTGATGAAATGGCAAAATCTGCAAAAGAAGCTGTAAGCAGAGGTGAACTGAACATCATTCCTGAACACCACAAAAAAATATGGTTCCATTGGATGGATAATATTAGGTAGGTTGTGGAGAGATTTATGAATGTTGATTTGAATACAGATTTGTGAATGTTTTGATCCTTAGCATTCATCAAACATGTTAGAAACAGGTTTTATGCAATTTGATTATTATGAGTTCATTTGTAGTCAAGTTGTTAAGAATTACCTCGCAGGGGTCTTCTGAACACAGTAATTAACTTTCTTTCACTATAAAGGTGGAAAATGTTTTGATTAGCTAAGTGACTGTTGGCCTGTGAACTTCGAATTGAGTTGAAAACATACTAACCTTCCGGCCCCACCTTCCGTAAAACATGATGTTTAGAGGAGTTGAGTTTGGTTATGGTACAGTGCAGACATGCTTCCAGGGTGTGTGTATGGGAGTGGATATTGGTACATATCTTTCTAGAATTGGCTCCTCTGTAGCAAATTACAAGAGGAAGAACACAATGGGAGGCTGGAAGGTGGAGGCAGATGACTGGCAGACCTGGTTTTGGGACTTTGTGTTGATTGTGGTGCTAGTTATTGGAGGAGCAGAGGTAAATCTTGTCTCACTAGTAGAGCAAGAGAAAATCAAATTCTAATATATATGTGAATCAAGAAAATGAGTCCAAAGTGATAAAAAAATTAGTAGAGACCCACAACCACGAAATGGCCAAAACGAAGAAGGGAACTAATGTCACAAATTTAAATTTTAAGAAACTGAAGTAAATGACAAATCAGTAAAAAATCAGTAATTCAGTGAAAAGTTTTAATACATAACACCTGATGGTGGCTATATATAGCCGAAACATGTCGTGTATGTTCCACATGTAAATCGAGTACTCGATAGGGAACGTAAAATGATATTTTAATCTTTTAATAATATTAAATTGTGATTGACGGCTAATTTTAATATATTTTAAATGACAAAGTGATCAGTGATAACAAGGAAATCAAACAGTCAGGGAGACAAAATAGTTAAATAGTTGGAAAATGGGCATAGGTAAAATAGTATCCTGTTTTGGGTTGGTGAATGGGTGAGGGGAGGAGCTACCTTGACACATCAGAAGTCACAGAGTTTCTGAGAACGAGCATGCAAGTGGAGACGCTAAATGGAAGCATTGACTGTGGCCATCTACAGAAAATATGGGGAGAGGGACAAATTCTAGTGAAATTAACCCTTTTCTTGTTTAATCTCGAAGTGGAAGGGCACACGGAGAATTAGGAATGAAAACCAGCTATGTAAAATGTTATCTCAGCACAAAAACTACTGTGTATGCAGTAGTACTATTAAGTTCTGGAATTGCTGCTCTGTCTGTCATTGATATCAACATGAGTTCTCACATTTAGTTGGTGATAAGAGTGTACTTTTGCAAATGGATTGCACTGTGTCAGAATGTGTGGCCATTTTGTCTTACTCTGGAATTCTTGTTGAATTCAGTTGTATGAGGCTGTTTACTGAATATGCATACAACATGTTTTGAGATTATTTTCTTTATGAGCAGTTCAAGAGAACAAAGAATTTCGAGTGTTCTAGAACAGCTTCTGAAACACTTGGTATGTTATGAACAGCCATTGGAGAAGTTGCTTTATCAAAAGTACAAATTACAGGTGATTTTCAAGATTTAAAAATGAATATTAATTTCTGTGGAAGAAGCAAAGTGTGGATAACCATCCATATACAGAATTGATGAAAATGTTCAAGAGTTACTTCATTAAGATAGGCATCCAGTCTTTATAATTTGAGCAAAAAAGCAAATCTTTCTTGTGAAACTGTCAGGGAATTTTATTAGAAGATCTGAACATGCTAAGCATCTCTGCCAAATTTGTTCCTAGTCTGTTAATGGATGAACACTGTTTTGTGCATGTCATGATCTACAGCCACACATACAAGATGAACTGAATTTCTTACAGTTATACGTTTTTGTGTTTGATTCAGAAACATAACCAGCATTCACTATTGAAACCTCCATACTTATCCTTGTCCAAAGGAAGACAGACAGGTTGGATCAAAAAAATTTTTATTTACATATGAAGTGAAGCTTTTGCGGTGACTGAAGTTGATGAAAGTTTCTCGGGCTACAAGCCACGTCAGGTGGCTGAACAGTGAACAAATTATCATCTTCTTTCAACGTTTTGAGAACAATCACTGTTCTCATCCTCAGGGCTGTTGTGCATTAGCTGATTCATCAGCCATGTGACACGGCTTGTGACGCGAGAATCTTTCATCAAATTTTATTCACCTCTCTCTCTCTCTCTCTCTCTCTCTCTCTCTCTCTCTCTCTGCATTTTGATATCTTAAATTAAGGATGGTAAATGAGATAGTATTCATGTAATTTTGTAGGGAGCTTAGCTGCTGTTATAGGCAAGAAACTTATCAGAGTGTATTTTTCATACAGAGATTGGTGTGTATCAAGACAGCTGTGGTGGGGGCATAGAATTCCAGCATATTTTATTACTGTGGATGATCCTTCCATTCCAGCAGGCAATGTAAGTATAATATGCTGCAGTTGGTACTTGTTAAAGTCAGGAACACTAACGCAGGGTTTGCTCCATATACGAGGCGCGTCCTCAAAGTAAGTTTCCCTGGGGCCGTTTACAGAAACAAAACATAGTTTCATGGAAATATTTATTGCAACAGATACAGCAAGTGTCCAGCTATTTTTCAACATATTCGCCACCGGAATTGAGACATTGGTCATACCGTGGGACCAACTTTTGAATACCTGTGTCGTAGAAGTCTGCCGCCTGGGATTGGAACCACTGTGTGACAACCATCTCCGCCTCTCTTTCATTCTCAAAACGCTGACGCTGACGCTGACCGGACAGGAATTTCTTGAGGTGTAGGAAAAGATGGAAATCACTGGGAGCGAGGTCCGGGCTGTAGGGTGAATGATTAAACACCTCCCAGCTGAACTCCTGCAGGAGACTTGCTGTCTGTCGAGCCGTGTGCGGCCTAGCGTTATCACTGACCGCACTTCACAGTCGGCGGGAGCTGGAATAAGAACCTCCATCTTCAACAGCTGCAACGATGCTACTGTGAGAACGCGGGAGGGGCCGTTAGTGCATGCGCCATGCTACGTCATTGCTCTATCACGTACGCACAGTCGCTTCGCGCAATATAAGGTTTGCTAGCTGTGGGACGAGTGGGAAACTTACTTTGAGGACGCGCCTCGTATTTCATTTACACAATGAACTTTGAATATGCCTGTGTTTTGGGATGTTGCACCATATATTCTGGTAGAAGTATGCTGATGTTTCAGTAGTATTTGCTGCCTCCATCATCAGGGACGTGATGATTAAGGCAGTAAGTACCTCTGTTGGACTGTACTCTGGCAAATATCTTCCAGTCTGTAGGATTTGAGGATTTCACAGTAGTGAATCCAAAGATGGCTGTCTTCTGGATTATTGTGCTATGTAATCTGTTAAAAGTTTACCAATGTCTCGTGTCTTATCTATATATGACGTGGATGATGATATTTTTCCATAAAAAAAACTGCAAAATAAAGGTGTAGTGTATGAGTAAACACAAAGAAGTACAAATGGAATCTGTCACTGGTAGTATCTTGTCAGTGAACTACTGATCTTTGATTCTGTCTGGTGAGAAGCTCAGATTATAGGAGTAGATTAACTCTGGATAATAATTTGTAGCTACAACATTCTAACTGCTCTATGTTAACTTTGAATGATATATTGATGGCAAAATTTTAAATACAGGTTATTTACAGATAAGAAGGGAAGTGGTTAACTTTATCTTTTACAAACTAAGTTACATTTACAGCATGGTTAGTATCATGTTTAATTCAGGTTTCAATACATATTGTTAACTAGCATTATTCAGATAATTTGCGTACAATATTGTATGACTTTCAGCTTTCTCATTTGATTTACTCAGGAAATAGATAATGAATACTGGGTCAGCGGACGTAACAGAGAAGAAGCATTGGAAAAAGCATCCAAGAAATTTGGAGTTCCAAGTTCAAAAATATCACTTAAGCAGGATGAAGATGTCCTTGATACGTGGTTCTCCTCAGGCCTGTTTCCATTCTCAATATTTGGCTGGCCAGATGAGGTACTGTATTTTTTATTCCACACATATACAGAAAAAGTCCAGTGTAATGAGTATGGCATATGATGAATATGATGGAAAGTTAATTTATATGAGTTTTTTCATGCATAGTCAATTTAATAATGTTAAATATAGCAGTATCGTTGGTTGTGATGGGCATACTGTTTTATTATTTTTAACATAATGTGCACTTTTGAATGCTTTCCACAATCATGTAAATGTCCCTCTGCCATTGTGGTATAGTCGCTGAATTGTTGGTTTTTTAAAATGAGTTTGTTTGTTTTCTGTGATCATGTAAAATTACGTCTGACAACATGGATTAGTCCCAGCTATGATTCTGAGTCAGCTGCATCCTGAATATTTATACACTTACGCAGTTACCAGACATGTAGAAGTGAAGGCAGTAATGTGGCAGTTTGTCTGCAAATTGAAATTTTGGCACAATTTCTACTCAATCCTGATCTGACTGTTAGAGCCATCTAGTAGTGAATCAGGAGAGACTTGGGTGAGAAATGGCTGCTGAAGTTTGTTTACAAAACATCTTGTTTCATGCTCGTAAGGTTCTTTTACATGCCGTAAATCTACATGGGATCACCGAAGGAAGTTGTGCTATATATTTTCATCACCCTTAAAAATCCAAGCACGCTAACCACTAGTCCACTGAGGTCGATGGTATGAGTTACTACACTCATTAAAAATATTACATATTGTCATTAACCAACTTCTGTGGCAGCCACTTAGTTGCAGTAAGGTGTGAGAAGGGACCTGAAATTAGTATTAGAAATTTTCATATTAATTGGTTAAAAAGGACGTGGCCCTAGAAGCGAATTTGTTTTTAAGTATAATGATATATGGAAAACCTTAATTGAAAAAGGACCTGATATCAAAAAGAGTAATAAGTACATTTTAGTGCATTATGAAGAAGTGGTTAATATTGTAAATTTTAAATTTTAAATTATGATTACAGAGGAAAAGGTATAGTAGAGAAAATTCTTGTTCTTATCTCAATTTTCATAATTTTTTCCAAATGCTCTTTCTAAACTGAAAAAGACTTTCATGCACATGCTTACTTTCCAGAAGTTAGATTGCTTATAACATCATCATCATATTCATCAAGTATTAGGCCAAGTGGCCTGTTACGGTTTAATTTGCTTATAACAAGTATTCATAAAAGTAACATTCCTACCAAACATTATTGAACTCTTGTTACAACAAGTTTGCATTATGTTGAAATAAGGTATTAAGTTCATATTTACTTATTTGATGTTTCCATTTTTTTTTTCAGACGGAAGATCTTGAAGCATTTTATCCGGGAACACTATTGGAAACAGGACATGATATTCTTTTCTTCTGGGTGGCTCGGATGGTGTTCTTTGGGCAGAAACTCTTGAAAAAACTTCCGTTTCGGGAAGTATATCTCCATCCGATTGTTCGAGATGCTCATGGTAGAAAAATGAGCAAGTCCCTCGGAAATGTTATTGATCCAATGGATGTGATATCAGGTATCACTTTAGAGGTTAGTAGTGATAACGAATATATGTTATTTAGGCAGACAGCTGCCATCATGATCATCCATCTATATCTTGTATATATCTGCTTGTATTTATGTCTCTGGATGTTATGAAAATATCTGATTTTACACAGTTGTCAGAGAATTCTAACTTGAATTTTTAAAGTTAAATGAGTGTTGATGGCTTCGTAATGCATAAAAAAATGTGATATTCTTTTTTCTAGAACCTGCATCAACAGCTTCATAGCAGTAATCTGGATCCAAAAGAAATTGAAAAGGCTAAGGAGGGACAAAAACAAGACTATCCAAATGGCATACCAGAATGTGGTACTGATGCTCTGAGGTTTGCACTTTGTGCATACATATCACAAGGTTATTATCAGATGCATTACATCATTCATGTAAAAACTGTAAAGCTGTCCCACTATACACCATGCACTTGGGAGGAGAGGAGGTATAGCTCCTACTCATTGTTGACCTTGGCACTAGATGGGGGTGAGTGGTTAGCGTCATGCCCCGGCCGCGCGTTATGCCCAGGAAAGGACCCCTGAACCTATTGGATAGGAGGCTGGGTGGGCTCCAGAGCTGGTCTGGACTCAGAGGCTAGACGAAAGATCCTCTGCTCTTGTCGCAGATTGAACCCCGGTCGTTCAGTCCATAGCCAGTCACTATACTGACTATGTCGCATGTAACAAGTTAAATTCCTAGAATAACACAGAATATTATGCCTTTTAAATAGGTTCTACAAAATTTCATCACATAATTCCTGCACATTTTTTCCAAAGTTTTTTTAACCAAAAGCATGACTTGAGGATCCTTAAAAATAGACCATCATGGAAAACAAAGCTATCTATGTAAGTGAAACATTTTCTCTGAAAATCACGTCAAGCCCTGGAAACAGACGATGTTTTTCTTTTTTGTGCTACGTTACTTTCCATAACCTGTTTCATTAAATGCTGCACAAGTAAGTAAATTTTTGGCACAGTAATATATTAACCATCAGATCCACAGACAAGTTCTTTAACTTGGCTAGCTTTCCTTTTTAACATTAGAACTTGAATGCTTGACTTATGTGAGTGTTTCTCAACCTTTTTGGTACTGTGGACCCCCTCCTGAAAATTATCACATACATTTTAATTGAATGAAATGCATACAAATGAAAAATGTAGATTGAAGGTATAATTTCTTCACTGGTTTTTAATTCCAATGTGGAAGTAAGAAGTGTGATAAAAAATTTAGCAATATGGGTTCAGAAAATAAAATAGTAGAATACACTCAACTTATGGACCCCGTGTTGATATATGATAACTTATGTGATGAAATGCAGAGCACATCAAGGCCTTGCCTACTTTGGATTTTAAGTGTCCATGGTTTTCCATTTGTATCTAGTTTTGCCAACTTCAGTATTTTCTTTTCTGTATCTACATGTCTCAATTTGCGTACACACACAAAATGTTGACGACTTCTGAACTAAGGGGTTCACATTTTCTGGGGTTGGGACTGTAATGGCATCCAAAATCAAGTTACCAGTTTTTAGTATTTAGTATTCTATATGTAATGAACTGGGATGTGCTTCTTATTTGGAGGTGTGTGGTATTTGGATGGTTATGGTACTTACAGAAGGGGTCTGTTGTTTTAATTATTGTTATAAACTGTTTTAGGCCGGGATATCAATTTGGACATCCTTCGTGTTCAGGGATATCGATTCTTCTGTAATAAATTATGGAATGCAACAAGATTTGCCCTTATGTATTTGGGTAATGACTTCAAACCTAATCAGAAGATTGAGAATGGAAGTTTTGGAAGCACACACGAGAAAAACAAATGTGTAATAAACTCATCAGGCTTGAAAAATATTGAATCAGTAGTTTCAGAATGCATGCAGCATAAAGATTTGTTGCAGTCAGATGAAATTCAGGAAGTTCTGAATTTGTACTTTGGAGATCACAGCTACTTGGATGGGTTCACCCCGTCGCATGCTGATGTTGTTGTATTTGAAGCTTTTGGAAATAGTGGCGTGTGTAATGCAGGCATAATAGACAAGTATCCACATTTGCAAAGATGGCTTAAGCACATTGGCAGTTTTGGTGAAGATAGAAGCTGCTTCAGATCATCCGAATTGGCAAGCAGATGCAAGGTGGGCATGCCTGTATTTTGTCTCATATTATGTACGAGGCGCGTCCCAAAAGTAAGTTTCCCTGGGGCCGTTTACAGAAACAAAACACAATTTCATGGAAATATTTATTGCAACAGATACAGCAAGTGTCCAGCTATTTTTCAACATATTCGCCACCGGAATT